GATTTGACCAGATGCACATATTCGTGCTCCTTGGCTTGGTGGAGGTGATGGTTTTGCTGTGTTCTCACAAAGAAGATGCAGCTTGAGACATGCTGGAAAAAAATGCAGTTAATCTTCTTTGGCACCAGAGAGAAACAGAGGAACACCTGGCCAGGTAGGGGTAGGCTGCCCCCAGTACTGGCAATTCTATGATGCTTGATGCAGACTCTCAGTTCAGGTGATGTGGTTCAGGCAGGAACGGAACCATGGAAACTCCTTGGGCCTGGCTCTGCGTCCTTGAGCAGAGCTGCAGAGCTCCCTGGAGAGGTGAGAGCTGATGGGGACAGTCTCAGAGGAAAAATTCGATGAAAAAAGAAATTGAAAGAGGAAAAAGGAAATGTGATTCAGGTTAATATTGGTTTGGTTTTCACCTGAAAGCATTAAAAAAAATTGGAGGAAACTTGCAAATGAAATGATGTTCTGAGCTGAAAAGACGTGAAAGTCTGCTAGTAAAGGCTTTGACTTTTGTTTTTATTTTTTTCAGAAGCAAATAGTGGATATGTTTTGATGCTTAAGCTCATTTATTTTTGTTGGAAAGGGTGTTTGGCTGTTTGGTTTTGTTTTCACTGGCTTTATATTGGAGAGAAAACATCCTGGATGCAAATGGGTGTTCCAGGAGGGAATCTGTAAGTCTGCCACCAAACACATCTTTTCAGTACAAAATGTCTCCAGCACCAGAATTCTGGGTTAATTTGCCATTCTTCCTGGGCTACAGACAAACTGTTTATCTGATTAGAGATGGGCAAACATTCCCACCATCGCACACACTGATGCTCATAAACTGGTAAATAACAACAAACCAGAGGCTAGTTTTTCCTCCCCAGAGCCATTTAGTTTTCTTCAGTCCTGCCCAGATCCAGTCCCTGGTGTAAATATCAGCCTGTCTTACCCAGAAACACCTTTATATTCATGAACTCTTGTGTCCTTCACCTTTCCTGTCTGAAGCCGCCCCAGCCCCAGGCAATGCTCAACAGGCTTCTTCTCTCCAGCTGCAAAGCAGCGAGGAGCTGGGCCACATTTGGGCTGGGGATGAGGTGCTATCAGCTCACCTCAGAGGAGACTGGAAAATATGGATGTGGCGTGCCTGTTGGTGCGGTTTGGGTGGCGGTGCAGTGGAGCTGGTGCATGTGCTCCGTCATGAGCAGCCACAGGAGGATCTGCTCCATCTGGGAAAGGACAGGCTGGGTATGTTTCATTGCACTTGCCTTGTGGGCATGCATATGGATGAGGAGCGCATATGTGTAAGCATGTGCACAGGAGGAGATGGAGGGAGACTTATGGATTAAGGTGTCTAGAGAACCCCTCATGCCCATGGGGCAGAGAAGTGGGAGGACTCTCCAGATGGGATGTTGTAAGGGGATGTGGGTCTCTGTGAGAACAGGGCTGCTCCCAGCAGCACCCACCACAAACCCTCAAGTGAAGAGGACCACAGTGCTGACTCTCTCTGCTCCCTTTTTGTTTCGGCCACCCCTTTACCCCTGGCTGTGAGATCCTGGTGGGGTTGTTCTCACAGGGGAAATCTCGCTGGCCGCTCAGATGAGCTTCTTGTTGCTGGAGCAACGCAGAGCACTGTGAGCAGTCCTGAGTACCTGGTTCCTAAAATACTGCTCAGCATTAAAGCCCCATGGTATTTTTGAGGCAGCATTACAGGGAGACACACATATAGCTCTGCCTGCTCCCAGTCCTGCCCACCACTCCTGCCCCCACTGTACCTGGAACATACAGAGCCCAAATTCTCCTCCTCAGGAAAACGATACCCCACGTCTGTTCTCATATAGTTTTGGAAAAATAAATTTAAAAAAAAAAAAGATGATATTTTAAATTGAGCTCATATTTTTCAAAACTTCCTTTCTCTTTGTCCTTGAAGAAAGTCTCTTATTTCCCTTGTCTGGTCCCTGCGAATGAATTTCCTAGCAGGGACACCTTGTCAGCTGTTTTTCTTGGGCTTGAATTCAATTTTTCAAATGAAATACCTCTTTTAGTCTCATCTACTTCATCTACAAGAAGATGGGTGAAAAAAAATCTATTTTCTTTCTTCTTTTTAAAAGATTTCTGTTTTCTCTCCTAGTGGCCTTATGGCTCCTTTTAAGAAATTATATAACAAATTGTGAAAATCTGGAAGGGAGCTGGTAGTTTGATTCCTTTAAGACTCTCCCTTCTGCCACTAAGACAAAGAAAGGCGAAGTAACATTCAGTAGGCAAAAAAAAATTATAATAAAAAAATCAAACTTACTGTTTCACTTTTGAACAAGGTGCAAATTAGCGAATATTTGTTAAAATTTGAGACAGCAATTGTCTAAGAAAAATAGTTTCAAAGAGAAGAAGGTTGTTTTTTCTTCTTAAATAAAAAAGCCCCTGAACCTTTCTTTCTTTTAACTTCAAAAGGGAGCCAGATTGCAGAGGAAGAGAGAAAAACCTTAAATCTCCTCTGAAGGGAAGTAAGTAACTTAGTCAAAGTGATCTTATTTTTGTGGGAATAATTTTCAGTTCACTTTTTTTTTTTTTTTTTTTTTTTTTTAGATCTTGATCAAATGCCTCATAAATTTTAAACTGAGCTGGTAAAACCTCTGCTCTACCCGCAGAAGGTGTCAAATGGTCATTTATTTGAGGATGACTGGATTATGCTGACCTGCTTGTTTCCAAAAACTTCATCAGCAGGCACCAAGCAGGAGTTTTCCCTTGGCTTTGGGTAGGTGTTTAAAGTAATATCAGACTGCAGGCAAATGCTTCCAGCTCCCTACAACGGCGTTTTGCACTTGCTTCTGTCTTGATGCAAGGAGGGGCAACACAGCCACACTGAAGGTTAGGCGTGGATCCAGGGCTTGGTGGAAGATCAGTGGTGCCTGTCCTGCCTGGAACCTCTCACATCCTCTGCATTCCCAAATAAATAGCAATGATAAAGAGGGGTTTTCAGATGTGACCCATAGGTACTTCATGTTTATGCAAGTGATAATCTCTGGAAAAAAGATGCCAGCTAAGGGGTGTTCTTGTGCTATATCTATGAAAGCCAGAGTCAGGCTTGTTCAGAGCAATAGTAGCCTCCGTATGCATCTATATATGCAGCATCTGCTGAGCCTTTGGCTGGGCTCATAGATTTGACATTGAACTCCTCATTTCAATCTAAACTTTAATAACGTGCGAGTCGCCACAGCGCAGCAGAGCACCGATTCATCCCATAGCTGGGTCTGCCAGTGGCCCGTGCCAGATGCTTCCGAGGAGATTGCAGAGCATCATCATACAGCTAATTGGTGGGAACACGTCCTCCCGCTGCCAGCTGGTGTTCATCAGCTCTGTGTCCTGCAGCACCGGGGGCTGATGAAAATAGCCATGTGTAGAGCTTCTTGCCTGCCTTCAATCAGAGGAGCACAAACACCACTGAATGAAGCCCTTGTATGCCAGGTATTGTGCTGGTGATCTCTGTTGATTGCCTGATCTCAGGGGAGTGAGAGCTGGCATCCTTGATGGAGGTTCAGCAGTTACAATCACCAATAGCATCAGCACAGGACCCGACAGATGAAGGGGTTTGTTCACTGGTGTTTGTGCTCTCCTAATTTCCCTTATGGTCCAAGGAAAGTGAAGCAGTTCCCGTGAGTACTTAGGGAGCTGCCCCAGCAAGTGCTGGGACCACGGTGTGCAGCATGGTGGGCAGACAGATGCTCCTGCATGTGTAAGTAGGTTAAAAAAAATAGTAAAATCAAAACCAGTAAAAGAACTCAAGGCTGGGCAAAATGTGACAACAGCTGGAGCCTGTGTAGGGACAGAATTACAAACCCTGTAGCCCAGAGCTAGTCTCTGGCTGGACCTGCTTGTCTCCAGAAGATGAACGCTTTTCTTGCTTTTGCAGAGCTGCAGAAGCTATTCTTGTAGCTGTCGAGTCCTTTTTTGAAAGTTAGTAAGGGTTTTCTTTTTGCCTCAATAACCTACAGCAGAGAGTCCTACAGGCTAATTATATGTTTCATTTTAAATCCTTTAATTTTTTTGTAGTTCAAATAGATAACTATGTTTTTCTCCCACATCTTTGATTCAGACAGATGATTTGCTTCATTAATTGATATGTGGAGGAGAGGGGCTAGAAATGAGCTATATTTATGCTTCAAAAATCATCTTTCCCCAACTGTGTTTTTTCTTCTGTGAATTCTCATATTTACTTCAAAATTATACTGAAGTGAATGTCATCAGCCTTTGTCCAGGGATCTTTTGCTGGATTAATTAGTCTATAATGAATCTATTTCTCATCCACTTTGATTTTAAACTTTCAAGTTGATCTGGTGTCAGACTGTACCCAGAAATCTTCTTCTCTCCTGAACTGTCAGAGCAAGGAGGAGGGCAGTGTGCTGGGGCTACCTGCAAAACACAGCAGCTTGGAAGAACTGGGATTTTGGTTTTTGAGGTGAGAAAGCATTTCTGGAGGAGCTGTTGGAAAGTGGTGAGCACAGAATGGAGCCATTCCGGAGCCCAACCTGGTTCTGGTCCAGGCACTCTATTGGATGGCAAAAGCATTCCTGCACCAGTGATGAATTCACCCCCCAGAGGGGAAGATTTTGTATGGTTTCGTCCCTTGGTGATGATTGTTTCAGCTCTTCCTCTTCCTCTTTGTGAAGGTCCCAGCCCTACAAACCAGACATCAAAGCAAATCGCACCATTGCACTGTCGTACCACCAGCCAGGGTCTCATCTCCCCAGGGTGTTCTCCAGGGCTGCTTGCTTGCTGCTTTCTTCTTGGCTTTTTTTTTTCCTTTGGCTTTCAACACACTTTGGTGAAAAAATGGGTGTGAATCATTTTTCATGAGAAACTTCCATTGCAAAAAGTGCTTTTTTTAGGAACTCAGCATCTTTATAAGTGAAATGCCAGAAATCTCACAAGCTGAAGCTGAAATGTGCTGGTTGCAACATTAGGTGCTAACAGTTGGCAAAGCTTGAGTCCCAGTGGCTAAAACACCAGAGAAAATGGCAGACAGTTCCTTGGCTTTTAAATCTGGGCTGGCTCGCTTGTGTGACAGGAGGAGAGAGGGTAGGACTCGGCTCAGGCTGGTTGGCTGTGATTGACACATTTCATGGACAGCTTTTTATGGCTCTCATCATGGTGACGCTCTGATTGCCTCCCCAGCGCTAATGAAGATCTCCTGTCATGGGCCTGCAAGGTAGGAAAATATTATTATCTCTAATTTTCAGATGAGCCTGCTCCACGTGGATCCATCCACCTGACATTGCTGGCCCGTGTGACAGTGGCAATGACACGACCCATGAAGGTGGTGCTGGTGCCTCTGAACCCATGGTGCAGAGGTGGTTGCACAGGGCTGGGGCTGGCCCCACGATGGGTCTCAGAGATACTCCTGAAGCCACCAAGAAACTTCTCAAAATCAGCAATATTGTTGGCTGAGAAATGTGGAGAAATTGCCATGTCCACAGTTGGTTTTGTCTTGAAATCATGTCTTGAAAAATAGGTTTGTCAGTGGTTTTGTCTAGATCCCTGAGAATTTTTATAGGAATGCCTGCAAAAAGAAAAGTGCATAACGTGTTAGTAACAGTCTCAAGAAAGCTGGAAGAGGAAATTTTCTTTTTTAAAAGAGCAGAAACGAATGGAGTATTTTGTGAGATTAGAAATGTTTAATGCTGTCACTAGCTTGGGATAAGGTGGGGAGAAATGCTTTTGAAAACCATCATTTGGGATAGAACCTTTCATCTGACAGTTCAGGTCAGTCTTCAGGACACCACCACGGCTGTGACTGCTGGCTGGGCAGCTTGGCTGCCTGCCAAAATTTTAGACCCTGCAACCTCTTTTGCAGCTTGTTGGGGACATACCTGAGCGTGAGGCTCGAGTGTGGGACTTCCAGCGGCGGCACCGTGCCAGACACTGCCTGCTCCTGCTTTATTGCCTGTGAGCAGCTGCAAGCTGATGACAGACACAAGTGGTTTATAGGCAGACTTGTAGAAAGAAGTGTTTTGTAGGTCAGTGCCACGCTGGGGATGACTTGGTGGCCAGCTCCTGAGATGAAGGATGATGCCTCTGCTCTGGTCCCCTTTGACCCAAGTCAAGCAGCAAGCTCAGCTTGCCCTCTGGGTGGATAGGTGGCACATATGGATTTTGATAACTTTCTTCTGTTTAGAGGTCATTGTCCACTTTAAATATTCATGTTCTGAGGGACATAAATAATGCTGAACTTGTTAAGCTGACTGGCTTGCAACTTTTGCATTTTGTATCTTGTTTGCAATCAAGAAGGGATGTGAGGCTGCTACATCCAACCTGCTCTATAACTAGGAAAGGTTTTGTTGTTCAGACCCTGTTATCTGCTTGCTTTCTCTCAAAGCAGGACTGAACTGGTTAGCAGACAAGCCTTCAAAGCAGGTGTCTCTGATAGCTACCGGATGGCTTCCATTTTGGGGGGGGCAAATAGGAAAAAAATAGTGTTGCAAATCAACATCTTTGTTTTGATCCACCATCAGTGCCCAACGTGGATCACTGTGTGAGGTGGTGGGCATTCCCTTTGGCATCTGCTCTGGCCCTGCTGTGGTCCCAGTGCTCTTCCATGGCTCCTGACAGGGGTGTGGGGCACTCCCCATGGGCTTTCATTATGTGGATCCCAATGCATTGCCAGTAGGATCTGCAATAAATGACAATTTAGAAGAAATCTCTGTGGCATGAGATGGAAAGTAAATGGCCATCGCCTCATATTTTTTTTTTCAACTATTTGGTTGGTACCAGAATATCCCACGGTGTCTTGGGAATTGCAGTTCAATTCAGACACTCATATTTGCAAAAGACGGTTAATGGCTATGAGGTTTCAAGGTAGGAGCCTTTCAGTGACGTAAGATTTATGTAGGGACAATTATTATACTTCCTCCAGCCCCCCCCATCTGCTTCACAAAGAATATGAATCACCAGATGAAGGCCTCCTGTTTTTGTAAATCAGCTGAAACATAACAGTGATGTTGGGAAGTTGTACTGAGTTAACTGAGCTACTTCTCAATCTCAGAGCTTTACATAACCCCTTCTTAACGCACTGTTATTTCCTTTATAGATAGACTCATAAATTACTCCTGGTACACAAAATGCGTGGGAGGCTGCCTGTTTGCACAGCATGGGACCAAGACCTGCACATTCAAATATCGGCAGACAGCTGGAACGCAATCTGTGAAAAGGCACTCAGAGCCTCCAGGTCTATTAAATACAAACTTAGAACATCTACCGAGAATTTTATATCTTGCATTACGTGTGTAATGCCAAAAAGAATAGGTGCAATACCCCTGGGACTTTGTCAATAAATGTCGCAGCAGAGCATCCGAAGAATCTTTCTTCCGCGGGTGGGTGGAACGGTGTGTACGCAGAGGCTGGGGGGACATATGTGTGGATGTGCGTGAATGTGTATTTGTGTATAACGATATATTTGAGTGAGGAGGATCAGCCTGTGATAGCTATATTTAATTTAGTATCCCATTTTGTGATGAACTCTAACCACACCGAGAGAATTAGGAAACATGCTGCTTTGGGTTCTGCAGTTGTTTTGCCGCAGTCCTATAAAACCACAATGTATACAGAGCGCAAACTGTCCTTTTCTGAAGTTATTTGCTTCCTAATGTGGGGAAAACCTCCATTATGAACAAATTTGCCATGTCTGCTTCCACCACTATGTCCAATTTACACCCACAGTTTTTAGGAGATGAGGCTGTGAGATGCAGCCATTAGACTGATGGGCACAAAGGGAGGCAGAATTGAGACTACAGAGCCTCTGGTTCTGCTTCCATTTCATCGCCTTTTTTATCTTACTGCCAGAATTCTTCAAACACCTGCTTTTGAAATGTAGTGCAAGGGCCACCTCTTATCCCAAACCCTTCAGTGAACATTTACACTGCTTTTACCTTGTGTACCTGTACAGACTTTACTAAAATATTTCAGTTTCCTGTTACCCATATCCAGTAATCAAAATTTGGAAAAATTTGGAAAAGCTTTACTTTGGCTTTAATCTAAAGGCCACCTCTTGATTAAGCTGGTTTTGATATGTTTCCAGCTGTGAATAAGGCCTACTAGGTATTTGGGCTAGTCATATATCGGATTTGATTAGCAGCATAAACCACTGGGCATGGAAACAATTTAGTAGTACTTCAAAGCATCTCTGGATGTTAATGGTTTGTAGTTGTGTGCCATGCAGGAGATGGGTGGATATACCAGGATTTTGGAAACAGAGAATCTCATGATGAAAGAAATAATGCATCCAGGTTTTATCATCTAATCATAGAATAGTTTGGGTTGAAAGGGACATTTAAAGGTCATCTAGTCCAAACCCCCTGCAATAAGCAGGGACATCTTCAACTACTTCAGGTTACTCAGAAGCCCGTCCTGACCTTGAATATTTCCAGGGCTGGGGCATCCACAGCTTCTCTATGCAACCTATGCCAGTGTTTCACCACCCTCATTGTAAAAAACCACCTTCCTTATACCTCATCTCAGTCTACCTTCTTTCAGTTTGTTGTTTCTTTTAGTTCTTTTAGGTATGTTGAAGTGCTGCCCAGGAGCTCATATTAGGTGGAGATAACTGCAGCGACATGGTCTGTGCTGCAGTTATTTGGGTGCTCAGGGAAGGGTTAGGGTTAGTTAGGTTTAGGCTGTACAGAGAGCACCCAGTTAGTATCATTTTCCTGAGCATCCATGGGGCAGTGCCAGGACCTGCTGTGCCAGTGGGGGATCAGACCTGAGCCCATGACCAGAGTGCTGGGGCACACAATTGCACTCGACAGCAGGCACAGGCCTGAAACCATGTTATTGATTCCATTCTTCTAGAACTGGGATAAAAGCAGCTGAGAAACAAATCAAATTATCTCTACTGCTCCCAGGAAGTCAGTCATCTCTGGGATATTTTTGTTCCTTTCAGGAATAAAGTCTGGTCAGGAGGGAACAATAGAAATGTAAAGACAAATAACGCTCTTGCATAGCTGTTCCAAAGCAAAAAGCCTCCTGTGGGTTAGGTGAGGACTGGGAGGAAAGCCTGTTCCCTTGCCAGCCTTGCTGCCTGCTCATGTGTAACATTATTTAGGTTGCACCAAGTTTTGTTAGATTGGTGCATCCTTCAGTCGCTTGGGGATAAAAGCTCTTGCCCACAAGGCCTACCAGATGCAAGGAAAATGCTTTGGGATTTTGGAATCCGAAATGGATAAAATATCAGATAATTATTTCTCATTGCACTGCTAAGGAATTTTAATAAAATTTGATTGAAGAGGCAGGTATTAGGTAAGCTGCTGTGTAAGAACATCAATTAGCAGAAGAACAACAAGCAGTCATACAGTTTGAGGTTGTTAGCAACTCTTGCTAGAAATATCTGTTGAAGAATTTCAGGAACATAAGTTGCCATGAAACCTACAATTCTCTTCTTGGTTCTTTTGGTAACTTTCTGTTTTTATAGCCATGGGTAAAAGAAAAAAAAAAAGATTAATGTATCTGGTTTTTAACAATCTATCCAGGGTGTGGAAAAAAACCCTTCCTACACTTTGCCTTTCAATTCTGCAATAATAAATTAACTATCACAGTTTAAGATGCAATTGTTGTTCTTTTACATCTCCAGACTAATGCATCGTGACACCTCGATTACAGGAAGTGTGGATGGCTTCTCCTGCCTCCTCTCTTCTAGGTAAAAGCCTGTGATCACATCAGGGGAATGTTCGCCAGCTGCCTGTGCTGAATTTGCCCGATTTCTACACCAGCAGCCATGCTCAGGGTCCCCAGCTGTCCCCTGTACCAGTGGAGGGAAAAACACAGGGTACATGTCCCCTCAATACCGTCAGACCTCCCTACTGACATCTTTGAAGATATAATGCTTCTATTTGTGCTCCTGTGTACCTGCTGTCCTTAACAAATTTAAAAAATAAGAAGAGGGAAATTGCAAAGGCACTGGACCGAAACACTGTGGTGTGCAGTCAGAAGTCGATGCGTCCATGTGCTACAGCCGCGGATGCTGTGTAAGTGAATGGGAGAATACAACCCACAGCTGTAGTGAGAGTAATGAAATGTTTTGTGACTGAGGCTGTCTGGCCCGGTATCTGCAATAATCAAATCCTGGTAAGGCAATTTAGCAAGTTGTGGGGATTTTTTTCCAACAGAAAACAGTTGGTTGTTCTTTTATTGCATCAGCTGGGCTGTGCATTCCACCCACTCCCTCTGGCTGCTCTGCCTTGGCCGAGCTCTGCTCTCCTAAATGCCTGCTCACCACAGCTGGACCTGCAAGGCTGGGCTGCCACTGAAGCCATCCTGAGCGTCATGACTGTCTAAATCCCTGAGCAGAACTGCTGAGTTTGGACACTCCCAGGCTTAGGCAAAATTCCTTAGCCCACCTCCATGAAAACATGATTATTGCCATTAAATACACCCTGTGATACACCATGTCTCTGCAATGCTCCCTGATGAGCCCATGCACCAAACCTAATGGCTCCTGCTGCAGCCAGACACCGAACTCGGCTGTGGAGGCACCACCGCGAGCTCAGCTCCCACCACTGATGAGGGGTCTGTGAAGCAGCCTAATGATTTTCTACGGGTCTGAGATCACGGTAACACCATGAGAGTCGCACAAAAAAAAGAGATGTCTCCTTCCCTTCCCTCCCACTCCCTGCAAGGCTCATTTTGCAAACTGCAGCTGCTGAAAATGGAAAGCCAGCTAGAGCAGCAGCACTCCGACGGTGTTACAGAACCGGGATGCTGCAGCAGAAATCTGCAGATGGAGGATGAACATGCTGGGCTTCCAAAACACTGTGTTTCGGTGGACTTATCTCCCATTTGTGAGACAATAGACTGAGGAGCCGGTGGCACCACTGCTACGTGGATATGGTGACAGTGCCCTGTCTCCTGCCAGCACCACCAGGGACATGCGTGGCCACATCCTGCTCGTGCACCTGATGGCTGCCACCCTGCAGCACTCTGTGCCTGTCCCCAGGCTTGGCTCAAGACCAGGTGAGTAGCTGGCGGCCCTGGTCTTTGGGTCAGTGTATGAATCCCCTCCTGCCCCATCCAATCACTACCACCTCCTTTGTTGTTTGGCCTCTCAGGAATCTTAATGTAACCCATAATATTTAATGGGTTTGCTAGTGATAATGTAATTTTAAGTGACATAGATGTGATAAATCGCTTCCACACGTCACTAAATTCTGTTTCTAAATTTTTATGTATTTTTGATAGGCCAATTTATCCCTGCTGCAGCTCCAGCCCATGCAGTCAATGGCATTCCACTGGGGGTGAATTTTGTCTGCTATTTACAGTGTGTGCTTTTAAGCAGTGATTGGTGTGACAGTGTGATCTGTACAGCTGTCTCTCTGTATTTATTCTTTTGCCTGTAAGTTTGATTTATACTAGCTTCACAAAAAAAAAAAAAAGCTCATAGCTTTACATGTGAATGACTTTAAATAACTGATTAACGATTATTATTAGCAATGCTATAATGGAACAGGGGTTGCCAAGTCTGTGGGCTTGGCTGAGCAATTGCAGGTAAAGATGTTGTGTGTCCCTCTCCAACTCTAAACCTTTTCTGAAGTTTCCTTTATAATTGGACTGTGCCCTCTGGGTTCAATCTGACTTGATGTGTCTGACATGAGGTTCACGGCGGAGCTGCCTGTGAGGGGGATGTCTGATGTTTGATGGCACCGCACGGGTACCCGCCGGGAGCGAGGGGTGCTCTGCACCAGCCTGCTCCTGCTGGGGAGAGGAAAATCCACACCCCCAGATGACAGTGGTGACTTGCAGGCAGGCAGGCAGTGCTCAAGTGCTCTGCTTGAACTTGTGTTGTACTCGTCAGATTTGTTTTCATGAATTCTAAGAGCTTAAAATGGTGACTCTCCAAGGCAGAATCCTTTCAGGCTTGTGTCACATAAAGAGCCCCTAAAGCTCTCTTTATAAAGCCTGCTCTCTGTGCATGACTGCGGCTGCAGAGAGTTGTCTCCTGCCCCTTTGGGTGCTGATTCTGCCTAATTCTTTATTTATTTCATTATCTCCAGGGATCTCCTGGAGATTATTGTAGGAATGTAGAGATGTGTTAACCCCCTCTGCTTGGCTTTGTGTTTCTTCTCTACCTCTGGACTGACAATAGCAGATTCCTGGTGGCCAGGAACACCTGCAAGCAGCAAAGCTCCCATGTGTCCCTGTGTCCCGGAGATAGCACAGGGATGGGCTCCTTGCTGCTGACCCTTGTCATGGAGAGCAGCAAAACCAGCATTGCTTTACACTAACCTGCCCCAAGGTGTCAATTAGTATCATTCAAGCAGCAAACTCTCTCCCAACAGAGTAGCTACTACATGGTTAACATTTTCCTAGACTGAGCCTTCTGAGAAGTTTATTCCAGTGTTATCCTGCTCGAACTACCACCTGTGGTACCAAATAGGAGGAAGGATGGCTACGTCAATGAGATGTTCATGTCCTGTAAGAAGAAGGAACTTGCAAGCCAGGAAGTGTTGTGTGTGTTTTCCTGAAGGTTTAAGTCCTGAGTGTGTTTGTTTTGATGTGTTTGCAAGAGGGGAACCAGAAGCAGAATCAGAGGTGTTCCATTTTCCCCAACATCAGGCAGTGCAGCCATCCAGCTAGGAGTATCCTGGCTGTTTGTCAGATTTGTCCCTATCAAAGTCATAGGAAGGGAGTAATATGGTGGTGTGTTTTTTTTGTTTGTTTGTTTGTTTGGTTTTTTTGTTTTTGTTTTTTTTTGTTTGTTTTTTTAATAAGATGGTAGTGCTTCAAAAGTAGTAGAGGATAAGGCAAAGTCTGGGAATACAAAACATTTTTATTGTAGTTATTATTAATCACAGCTCAAGCAGACCTGCCTGAGAATCACTCTTGTTATTTTGTCTGCTTTCCTCTGGTTTATGTTCCCTGAGTAGAGTTTGATTAAAAACTGTTGCATCTCATTTTGCTCACAGGGGTTGAGGTGCTGTGTCGCTGTCACTTGTCTGCAGCCAAAATAATATGACACATCATGGAAGAGGCTGGATATTTGCTACTGGTTTTGATCTTCCTCAAAATATCGTTTTCACTTTGTGTAGCTAAAGAATAGCCGGCCTCCTGCCGTTTCTATTCACTTCTTACCCTTGAATAATGAGAAAAAAATCTACCTGCAATAAAAGTTCAGCTTATGTTGGGGAATTTTTCCAATACAGAAATAAAGCACTTTAGGAAATAATGGTGCCATTCTCAGATAAACAGATATTTTTGCTGGTAACTTCATGAATAAGGGGTAGCAAGGAGGTCAGCTTTAGTTGAACTCATGCCAGAACTGCTTGGCCATTCAAAGTCTTTGGCCTTTCACGCTTTTAAAGTTTTGGAGGGTTTTTTTTTGAAAATACTTTGAACTCACACAGATTTTACCTTCTTATGTCTGAAAAGGGCAGAATTATTACAGATGTAACAGTGTGTCTGTGGTATTTCAATAAATGTATTTTCCTCAGGGCTGATGGATTCCATGTCCGTGCAATCAGCAGCACGGGAGCGGGCAGCATGTGCCAGGAGAGGCAAATGCAGGTGGGAGGGTCAGTGTGGACCTCTGTGCTATGGAACTGTTCATGTTTGTCACCAGTCACAGTGGTGCTCAGGAAATCTTGCTGTTGAGCAGTTTGTCTCTTTCCAGCCCTGGGACCCTTTTCTGCTCCCCTGCCTGCCCTGGCAATGATGATGAGCACTGGCTCTGTGGAAATGGGGATGCCAACCAGGTTGCTCGTGAGTACCACAGCTGTATGAAACACACACATTTTCTAGCATGACACTGCAACCAAACATCAGCTCAACTACTTTTTATTATTAATTTCAAGCTCCAGCTGCTGCCTTGAAGCATTTTGTTTTGCTATTCTGAGAGTTGCTGCTCAGAACAAACAAAAGAGAAAGAAAAATGAAAGCAAAGCCCCTAAAACTCACTAGTAAGGTAAAGTCTAGCAAGGATGGCTGACTGTGTCTAATAATCCATCAGGGTGACTCATCTGTCAGCTACGAAAATGTCATTCCTAGAAGTTTACTAAAGCTTTTTAAGGTCTAAGTAGAGTTTACTGCTCATGGCAGCAGCACTGTGTGGCAGTGTGTGGTGATGGCACAGGAGCCAAGAGAAACAGCCCATACCATGCAGGAGCAGCACCAGGAACGTGGGCTAAATGTGTATCAGCCCAAAGAATAGGGCCTCTTTCAGTCCTGGCTGCAGAGGACAAAGGCAGTTAGTGTCTGGGTATTACTTTGGCCAGAGGAAGCCAAAAAATCCAGCAGTATGGGGGTCTGTCTCCTGGCCTAAGAGCAGGACCTGCTGCAGGAGGGTCCTTGTGTCTGCTTTCACACAACATGGCTTGTTAATCCCTTACTCCTGCAAAGCTTTGCTCAGTCATCTCTGCAGTACCAGTGTCACAGTGGAGAAGACAAGGTACCTGCTGGGGATGTGGGGAGAGCAGGGACCAGCCCTCTGGCTTGCACTGTTCTTGCCAAAAGGCAGTGAAGGATATTCAGCTCTAACTCTGACTGTTCTCTGCCAGCACAGGCCCTTTCCTCCCCAGCTGGGCTCTACCTGGCCAAAGCAGGACAGCTGTGGTGTGGCTTCATGGGAGATAGGGATGAATGTGCAGAGGGCACGAGGGCTCCCACTGAGCCCAGGAGCTGCTGCATTGGTCCATCTGGAGTAAACTCATACTAAGGGCTTCACAAGCAGTAGTACAAGGCTATTTATCACCAGCAGATACTCACTCTGTGCCTCTTGCAATGTCTTAGTCACCTTCTCCACTCTCCATTCCAGTGACTTTCCCTTTGCCCTCAACTAATCCATCATTTGGAAACAGCCTGTGGTGTATTTTCTGTTTTAAACTGCCGACCTTCAGACTTTGCTCCCGTGACAGCTCCCAGTCTGCGTTGATCCCTTTTCCCTTTGGAGACTATCGATACATTCTGATTTTGAAACAGCTTCATATAAAACTGGAGGGAGGTCTCAAATCCAGATCAAGCTTAACATCCACAGCCGATCCCCCACATCCACAGCCTCTTCCCTCCTGCAAGTGTTAAGCCATTCTTTTCACTCTGCTGCTTTGTGGGGCTAATGAATTTGCTGCTGCTATTCCCTCTGATGAGGGGATGGGAACAGTCACAGAATTGCTGTGAAAGGCTTAGAAATATATGTAAGTGGTTTGGATTTCTCTGTGAAATCTGAATTCAAATCCCCACTCTCTGTAAAAAAAAAAAAAAAAGAAAAAAGAAAAAAAAAAGAAAAAAAAATAAAGAGAGAAACACCAACACTGAAGAGTAACAACTTAAAAAAAAATCATTCATAGGGAGTCTGAGGTTTTGCTGCCTTTATCTCTAGACAGGAATGTTGTAGCATTGCCTACAGAGCCTTTCTTCTCTGCATTAGGCGAGCGAGGAGATTTCATTTCATACATCATTTACAATGGAGTGCATCAAGAGCAGAGTTGGTGCATATTAACAGGGATGTGGGGAAAGAGTTGGGTTCTTTGAAAGTTTCAAAGCATCTCCACTGAGGAGGGGAGCCCAGGCTGCTGATTCCTTTTCACTCTGTTGTAGAAGCTGTGTGAACCAAAAGCCCATGAAATGGAAGGAGGAGAACAAAGGCACTGAAAGGCCTATAATATGCCAGCATTAGTGGGAGCTGGAGTAGCACAGGGGTGGTGTAGCTCTTCTATCTCTTCTTGCTCTCCTAACTGGCACCTGCCTTCCTGTATATTCGCACTGGAGTGAGTATACAGGGTCCTCTCTGTACTTGGAAAGGGTGGTCATGGGTTGGGAGAATACGAGGAAGAGCTTGTCCCCCTTCCTCTCCAGCCCATTTGACCAGCAGCTGCCCATAATCAAGCTTTCTCCATTGCCTCCCACTGTACTTTAAGCCAGGTCTTCAGATCACTATAGTATGGTCACCCAATGTACTCATTAAAAAGTGTTTTAAACAATGATTTGGTTTAAGAATGAGCATTCTTCCTTGTTAAATAGATTTG